TCCATTCCGGGGCGTGGCTTCATAAAAGTGTAAGATCTCTTGACTCTGAATGTCCCAATCACCCCAGACGAACCCATTAATGACATTCCTCCTTGGCTGGATATATCAGTTCCTATTAGTTACACTCCTGTTGGTAGTAAGCAAATGTTAAACACCGATGTGATGAGATGTGTTACACTAGAAACTATTAACAGACACATAGAGAGTATTAAATCAAGTGAGTGTTATGCTTTTACTGATGGTTCTGTGCAGACAAACACAGGTAGAACAGGCTGTGCAATTGTAGTATATAAAGAAAAGGAGATGATAGTGTCAAACAGGCAAAGACTGAACAACTGGGCCAGCACAACACACTGAGCTAATAGGAATCACTTAGCCACAGACTACCTTAAAGAAAATGGAGGTGGGGTGATATTCTGTGACTCTCAAAGTGCTTTGATAGCAATAAACAGTCCGTCAGGTTTTATGTCTAAAGTTGTTTGCGATATTAAAAGAAATGTGATAACAGCTCAGGAAAACAACTATCGCATTGAATTTGTGTTGATTCCGTCCCATGTTGGAATCAGGTACCATGACCGTGCTGATAGACTGGCCAATGAGACATGTAAGAGAGGAAATGTTGACCGTGACCTTGGCCTGTCCAATGCAGTACTTAAAAACATTCAAGTCAGAATCATGAACTCTGACCTAGAAGAAGTGAGAAATGCAGAGAGACTGACAGTTGTAGCATTAGTAAATATGACAAATTTTGACAAGAGGTACCGGTATGGCCAGCATAAGACAGAACCAGACAATGTGATGTAGTCGTGGCCAGAATTAGGCTACCTGGCAAGTTAGTAACGCTGTACCCATACCGAACACTCAGCATGTAAACTTTGTGATAAACCTTTAAAGTATACACTTGAACACAAGAATGTGACTCTGTCAAAGACTTCAGGCCACCTGGCTAATTGTAATAATAATAATAATAATAATAATTAACGGTTTATTGAAAGAGCATGGCAGCCGGAAGGCTGAAAATATATAATCACATAATTGGGGAATGGGTCTCTTGATTTACAAATGATGTACAGGTAACATAAGTGATACAAATATGACATATAATAATTAGGTGTTGCTAATTTTTACAATGGTTGGGACTGGGCTGTTCTTGTAGCAATCAGTTCGTGCTCGTATGGGCTGGATGTGTGCAGGACAGTAGCTTGGGGCAATGCAGGTGTGCTCCATCCTCAGGTTAGGTCAGGTGAAGCCGTGAGGTCAGGTCAGGTTAGATTCAGCCACAATCAGTATTGCTGTGTTTTTGAGCTTTTCCTTCGAGTTGAAATTGCCACTTTTGTATATCACTTGTGGGTTAATCGTCACTCTTTGCACTGTACTGTTGGTGTGAGGTTGTTGATAAATCCAGATGGGAAGGAGGAGATGGGGAAGGGGAGAGCCCGACAGACCGGGCTGGCAGCTGTCTCCATGGTCAAGAGACCACGGCCGCGTTAGCGGGCAGCGCCGACTGCACACGTCCTTACCCTAAGAAGGCTGAGGTGTGTGGCATGTAGCATTGTAACATGAACTACGGTATTAACTATGTAATTACTACATTGAATCAGGAGTGCTTGATGACATCCCTGCTGTTTATCGAAAACTTGCTGCTACCCCACACTGATTAGTCCTCAAATAGAATCTACTTATACTGTGTATGAACCTCTGTCCTGCGTGGCAGTGAGAAGTGATACCACCCTCAGTGCCAAGACCTGACTGAATTACTTACAATAGGCAAACTGTACTCCAAGTTTTGTCAATAAATTTGTTAACCATTAGCCAGGTTCTCTCCCCCAAAGGCTCACTCCCCCCACAGGCTCCCCCAGAGTCTACCCGTACAGGCTCCCCCTACAGGCTCCCCCAATAGGCTCCCTTCACCGGGTCCCCCAGGCTCCAGGTTCAGCAGCTTTTCCTCTTACATTGATTCAGCCTTTCCTATCCCCAACACTGAGGCAATAAGCTTGTAATACAGGCCCTCCTCCTCTTTCTCCTCTCTTCTTCCCCCTCCTCCTCTTCCCCCTCCTTTCCCTCCCCCTTCTCTCTCCTCCCTCCTGCTGGCTCCTCCTCCAGGACGTCTTGCCTTCACCTCAACTATTCCTCAAGTCAATAAATGGTATTTAAAATCACCCTCCTCCCTCCTCTCACCCTCCTCTCACCTCCTTTTCTCCTCTCACCTCCTTCCCCTCACTCTCCTCCCTCATTCCCTCTTACCATCACTCTGCATCCCATCCCCATCCTCTTCCCTCCCTCAAACTTCCCCTCCCCTTCACCTCCTATCCCTCCTCTTCTCACCTACCCTCTCCTCCCTCTTCCCCTCACTAACCATTCCCCACCTCCCCCATCCCTCTTCCCTCCCTCCCTCGTTCTCCCCTAAGATTTAAGGAGCAGCGTTAAAGCCATCACGCCACTTCTTCTCTCCCTTCCTCTCCTCCTAGCCCATCTGGGAGCCCTGGTCGTCTGGGGCCCTGGGGCTACTCTCGGTCTCCACAGTCACTCTAATTGGCCAAAATTCTCAAGTCTTCCCCCGTCCCGCCCTGACAAGTTTCTTTTGTTGGCTTATTCCCGTTTTTTATTTATTTATTTATTTGTTAGTGATGTTTCTTTAGGTGTTTTCGGTCGCACTTTGACTGTGAGTTAGAGAGAGTTGTATAAATGGGTTAGGTTAGGTTAGGTTATGGTTAGGTTAGGTTAGGTTAGGTTAGGTTAGGTTTACTACTTGGGGAAATGAATGCGGTTGAGTGCAATACCGGTTATGCTGCCTCCTTGTGTACCGTACGTTTAGTGTAGTGTAGCTTTCAGTGTGCTGTATCCACACTGCCCCTAACTAGCAGTCATGACTATGGGACCCACCATAACTATTAGTAGTAGAGGTGGTGGTTATGATAGTAGTAATAGTAATGACTCTAGTTTGTATTGTCAACGCGGCCACTATCACCATCACCACCACTATTACCACTATCATCACCATCACTTGTTGCCTCACCCACCACCACCATCACTGCTACCACCACTACCATCACCACCACTACTACTACCACTACCATCACTCCTACCACCACTAACATCACCACCACTACTATCACTCCTACCACCACTACCAATACTACCACCACACACCACCACCACCACACAACAGCACACACCACCACCACCACACACCACCACTCACCATCACAAACCACCACCACACCACACATCACCACTCACCATCACGGTAGCTGAAGTAAGATATTTTGGCCTTTGTTAAGAAGCTTGAGGCACTATTAGGTCCTCCTGGTACTAATCAACACTGGAGCTCTGGCCTCCACTATAACAATACCTAAGCTGTTTAAGTCACCACTGGAGCTGATACTAACACGTGGCAACACTGTATACACCCCCCGCAACACATCGTGACGTCACAAGTAAACAAATCGCGGAATATTCGTTTCTATCCAGCAAAAAATAATCCTATTATTCCCATCCTGTGAAAAAATTATAGACAAAGTTATCATAATATTTACTAGGTGGCGTTAAAAATACCTAACCTAACTTAACCTATCCAACCCTAAACCAGCCTAACCTAACCTATCCAAACCTAAACCAGCCTAACCTAACCTATCCAAACCTAAACCAGCCTAACCTAACCTAACCTCTCCACGATAGCAAATCAAAACAAGTGACTATTGGTGTTATTTGCCGGGCTAGTTATTCAGGAGGGAGGAGGGAGGGGGGAGCGAGTGTGTGTCCCGGTGGTAGAGAAGTGAGTTGTTTCAGCACCAGGTTACCACCGCCTCTGGCACACTGACTGATTTAGTTCCCTGGCTCTCTGGCTCTCTGGCTCCCTGGCCTCTGGCCTCTGTCCCTGGCTCTCTGGCTCCCCTGGCCCCTCTGGCTCCCCTGGCTCCTCTGGCTCCTCTGGCCTCTGGCCCTCTGGCTCCCTGGCTCCCCTGGCCCTGGCTCCTCCCCCTGGCTCTTACAACCACAATGTTTTTCTTTATTATGATAGAAGATATTGGATTTATTTTAAGATTAAATCCTAACCTAACCTAACTTAAATTTAACCTAATATAAACCTAACTAAAATCTAACCTACCAAGACACTCAACCAAACCTAACATAAACTAATCAAAACCTAACATACAACTAACCAAAACTTAACATAAAACTAACCAAAACTTAACATAAAACTAACCAAAACCTAACATAAAACTAACCAAAACCTAACATAAAACTAACCAAAACCTAACATAAAACTAACCAAAACCAAACATAAAACTAACCAAAACCAAACATAAAACTAACCAAAACCTAACATAAAACTAACCACAATCTAACCTAACTTTCCATGTACTGTTAGGTTGTTAAATCATCAAGTGAAATAACCTGGGGGGAGGGGAGGGCTGGCTATCATCAAGTGCTCCCCCCCGCAAAAAAAAACTAACAACATTTGACCTTAGTTTAGCTTAGGTTAGCTTAGTTTAGCTTAGGTTAGGTTAGGTTAGCTTAGGTTAGTTTAGGTTAGGTTAAGTTAGTTTAGCTTAATTTAGTTTAGCTTAGGTTAGGTTGGCTTAGTTTAGCTTAGGCTAGGTTAGCTTAGTTTAGCTTAGGTTAGGTTAGTTTAGTTTAGTTTAGCTTAGGTTAGGTTAGGTTAGCTTAGGTTAGTTTAGGTTAGGTTAAGTTAGTTTAGCTTAATTTAGTTTAGCTTAGGTTAGCTTAGGTTAGGTTAGTTTAGCTTAATTTAGTTTAGCTTAGGTTAGGTTAGGTTAGGTTAGGTTAGGTTAGTTTAGCTTAAGAAGACGTGGGGGAGTGGATACAGTGCTTGACTCTTGTGCTCTGGTTCACTGGTTCGCGCCAGGTGCAGCCCCCCACTTCACCCAGCTGTAATAGTGTACCAAACTTTACGTGTGTGTGTGTGTGTGTAGGCCCTTCAGGCCAAATGGGCCCCTCAGTTCTAATGGGCCCCTCAGTTTTAATGGGCCCCTCAGTTCTAATGGGCCCTTCAGTGTTAATGGACCCCTCAGTTTTAGTGGGCCCTTCAGTGTTAGTGGACCCCTCAGTCTTAGTGGGCCCCTCAGTTTTAATGAGCCCCTCAGTCTCAGTGGACCCCTCAGTCTTAGTGGACCCCTCAGTCTTAGTGGACCCCTCAGTCTTAGTGGGCCCCTCAGTCTTAGTGGGCCCCTCAGTCTTCCATTTGGCCCCCAGCAAGTGGGCCCTCAGCCTTCTGTGGCCCTCAGTCTTAGTGAGGCCCTCAGTCTTGGTGGGCCTCAGTCTTGGCAGCCCTCAGTCTTAGTGGCCCCTAGTCTTGAGTGGACCCCTCGGTCTTAGTGGGCCTCAGTCTTAGTGGGCCCTCCCGGGTCTTGGTGGGCACTCAGTCTTGAAGTGGCCCCCAGTCTTGAAAGTAGGCCCCCAGTCTTAGTGGCCCCAGTCTTAGTGGCCCCCCAGTCTTAGTGGGCCTCAGTGCAGTGGGCCCTCGAACGAAGTGGCCCCCCCAGTTTTGGTGGACCCTCCGATGTAGTGGCCCCCCCAGTCTTAGTGGGCCCCTCGGTCTTAGTGGGCCTCTCAGTCTTAATATGAGCTCCTCGGTCTTAGTGGGCCTAAGTCTTATTAAGGCCTCAGTCTTAGTGGACCCCTCAGTCTTGAACCTCAGTCTTAGTGGGCCCCAGTCTTGTGGGCCCCTCAGTCTTAGTGGGCCTCTCAGTCTTAATGGGCTCCTCAGTCTTGATGGGCCCTAAGTCTTGTGGGCCCCTCTCAGTCTTGAGTGGACCCCTCAGTCTCAGTGGGCCCCTCAGTCTTGAGTGGGCCCCTCCAGTCTTCAGTGGGCCCCTCAGTCTTGGTGGACCCTCCAGTCTTAGTGGGCCTCCAGTCTTAGTGAGCCCTTAG